ATATATATATATATATATATATATATATATATATATATATATATATATATATATTTTTTTTAACTGATTGCTAGAATAAAAAGATCTCTGAGTCATGAAGATAGTGTGTTGACTCTCGTCTTAAAGAACCTTGGCAGCATCTTCAGGAAGTTGGCTTCCCTCCTCTCCCTCCTACATCCTATTCCCTCCTTCCTCCCCTCTCCCTCTCATCCATTCCTCACCTCCCCTTCATCCTCTTCTCCCCCTCCTCCTCCTACTCTTTTTTTCCTTATCTGCAACGTTCCCTGTCCCAGACCTGAGGAAATATTAGAGGGGAAAAAGACGTCTGTTCCCTAACTCCTTAATCTATACAGGCTACAGCTAGGTGTCTATAGCCTTGAATTCTTAAGTGTTTATAATCTTTCGTGTTCATTTTTCGAAACCTCTGCATCTTTCCCCCGTTCATGACGGCTTATTTTGTATTTATTAAACAGTGTGTTAGCCTTAGCAGGACGCGAGGTCCAACCTCGTAGCTCATAACTGGCTTTCAATAAATGCAAACGAAGCAGACGTGATTAAGAAAAAAGATGTGGCTTCTTAAGTGGGTATTAAGTACAAACCTCGTACTTAAAGGTTACTTAATTAAGGCCTCGGCGAGGGCTAGACCTAGCTCCCCCCCCCCGTCCTTGACCTCCACCACCCCAAAGGACCTACCGTCACCCCCTCCCCTCCCCCCCAGGGCTACCCTGGAGGTCGTCCAGGTCGTGACCTGAAGATGACGCCATCGCTGATTTCCGTCTCATCTTCAAGTGGATTTCGTGTCCGCGGCTGGAGGTCATTTTTTGGTTTGTTTATCGATAGGATTTTTTTTATTCAAAATGTTCATCATTTCGTGAGTTTGGTTCAGAACTAAATATTGCTTTATATATGTGGTCTTTATTTTTATTTTAATAAAATCGTAATTTTTTCAGAGCGAGAGAGGGGGGAAAGTGGGAGGGGGGAAGGGGAAGGGGGGGGGGGGTGCATGTGAGGGGTCTGGGGGGTTTGGAGTGAGAGAGAGAGAGGGAGATATGGTAGGTGTCCTTGATGGTGTGAAGGTGAACAAGAGCTGGAAAAACTGTTCACATGCTCCACCCACCCTCCATCCCTCCCACTCACCCTCCCTCCCACTCTCCCTCTCACCCTCCCTCCCACCACCTTCTGTCCCTTCCTTACAATGTCTCTCCCACGCTTGTCCTCTCATGTCTCATTTATTCCACAACCCCTCCTATCCTCCCTCACCATCTTTCTCCCCATACTCTCTCTCTCTCTCTCTTTCTTTCCCTATCCTTCCTTTTCTCCCCATTCTCCTTTTCTATTTCCTTCCACTAATCCTCGTCTCTCTCCTCCTTGACAAAGTGATGACATATCCCCCCCCCCTTTTTTTTTTAAACAAAGTGGTGCCAGTCCCCTAAATATGGGCAGTGGCGTCAGTCCCCTAAATAAGGGCAGTGGCGCCAGTCTTTTAAATAAGGGCAGTGGCGCCAGTCCCCAAAATGAGGGGGTTTTAATGACAATAACTTACCAATAAGTGACGCGCAGTACTCTCATACAGGGACAGTGTCCTGTCACTCCCCACTAAGGTAAATAGGCAGCCATTCCCATCAAAGATCAACTTAGTGGGAGTTCCCTTTAAAAGGACAAATTGGTGTCGGATCTCCCATAAATAAGGCCAAAGGGGGTGTCAGATCCCCCATAAATGAGGCCAAAGGGGGTGTCAGATCCCCCATAAATAAGGCCAAAGAGGGTGTCAGCTCCCCCATAAATAAGGCCAAAGGGGGTGTCAGATCCCCCATAAATAAGGCCAAAGGGGTGTCAGCTCCCCCATAAATAAGGCCAAAGGAGTGTCAGATCCCCCACAAGATCAAAGGGGGTGTCAGCTCCCCATAAATAAGGCCAACAAGGGTGTCAGTGTCCCCATAAATAAGGCCGAAGGAGTGTCAGATCCCCCCCCCTCTGGGTGTTGCCTGGACTTCCAGTCATGAGTCAGCTGAAAGAGGTCGGCCTGTTTCTTGCCGGGGTGAGGCGGGCGACGGGGCACCAGGGTTCGATGATGGGGCTAAGTTACAGCACCATGTAGCGCGGTGTAGGGCGGTACAGAGAACGGTACAGTGAGGTGAGGAGGACCAGACTGCGGTGCAGTCAATTTGTTTTGTTGTGTTTAGATTTAGCTACTCGGAATGAAATGTCCATGTAGCACAGGCTATAGTGAGCCCGTAAAGTGCAGCTAAGGTTTTGTTGTTTAAGATTCAGCTACTTGGAACAAAAAGTTCCAAGTAGCACGGGCTATGGTGAGCCCGTAGTGGACTTACCTGGCACAGGAGCGGGGCTGTAACTTCTGCAGTCAAGGTTTTGTAACGACATATAGAGAGCTACGGCAAGGTGCAGTGTGGTACACAGCGGTTAGGAGTATTGTACAGAATGTATATATCTCTCACTCTAATTACTGTTTATCAAGTCTTATTATCAGCTTCTCATATTATTCCATTCTCTCTCTCTCTCTCTCTTCCCTCCCCTTACATACCAGTATCACACAGTAGAACCCTCACTACCACCTTTAAATGTTTGTATGTATGTATGGGTCGTCACAGCAACTAATACGTTCCACCCTTAGCGTGAGAAATTGTGTACTCACCTAATTGTACTCACCTAATTGTGCTTGCGGGGGTTGAGCTCTGGCTCTTTGGTCCCGCCTCTCAACCGTCAATCAACTGGTGTACAGATTCCTGAGCCTATTGGGCTCTATCATATCTACATTTGAAACTGTGAATGGAGTCAGCCTCCACCACATCACTTCCTAATGCATTCCATTTGCTAACTACTCTGACACTGAAAAAGTTCTTTCTAACGTCTCTGTGGCTCATTTGGGTACTCAGCTTCCACCTGTGTCCCCTTGTTCGCGTCCCACCAGTGTTGAAAAGTTCGTCCTTGTTTACCCGGTCGATTCCCCTGAGGATTTTGTAGGTTGTGATCATGTCCCCCCTTACTCTTCTGTCTTCCAGTGTCGTGAGGTGCATTTCCCGCAGCCTTTCCTCATAACTCATGCCTCTTAGTTTTGGGACTAGTCTAGTAGCATACCTTTGGACTTTTTCCAGCTTCGTCTTGTGCTTGACAAGGTACGGGCTCCATGCTGGGGCCGCATACTCCAGGATTGGTCTTACATATGTGGTGTACAAGATTCTGAATGATTCCTTACACAGGTTCCTGAACGCCGTTCTGATGTTAGCCAGCCTCGCATATGCCGCAGACGTTATTCTCTTTATGTGGGCTTCAGGAGACAGGTTTGGTGTGATATCAACTCCTAGATCTTTCTCTCTGTCTGTTTCATTAAGTACTTCATCTCCTATTCTGTATCCTGTGCCTGGCCTCCTGTTTCCACTGCCTAGTTTCATTACTTTGCATTTACTCGGGTTGAACTTCAACAGCCATTTGTTGGACCATTCACTCAGTCTATCCAGGTCATCTTGTAGCCTCCTACTATCATCCTCTGTTTCAATCCTCCTCATAATTTTTGCATCGTCGGCAAACATTGAGAGGAACGAATCTATACCCTCTGGGAGATCATTTACATATACCAGAAACAGTATAGGTCCAAGGACTGACCCCTGCGGGACTCCACTTGTGACGTCTCGCCAATCTGAGACCTCACCCCTCACACAGACTCGTTGTCTCCTGTTGCTTAGGTATTCCTCTATCCACCGGAGTACCTTCCCTCTCACTCCAGCCTGCATCTCCAACTTTCGCACTAGCCTCTTGTGTGGCACTGTATCAAAGGCTTTCTGACAATCCAAAAATATGCAGTCTGCCCACCCTTCTCTTTCTTGCCTTATTTTTGTTGCCTGGTCGTAGAATTCAAGTAACCCTGTGAGGCAGGACCTGCCATCCCTGAACCCATGTTGATGCTGTGTTACAAAGTTCCTTCGCTCCAGATGCTCCACTAGTTTTTTTCGCACAATCTTCTCCATCAGCTTGCATGGTATGCAGGTTAGGGACACTGGCCTGTAGTTCAGTGCCTCCTGTCTATCCCCTTTCTTGTATATCGGGACTACGTTAGCTGCTTTCCAAGTATCTGGCAGTTCCCCTGTTGCCAGTGATTTGTTATACACTATGGAGAGTGGTAGGCTCAGTTCTCTTGCTCCTTCCTTTAGAACCCAAGGGGAGATTCCATCTGGGCCTATAGCCTTCGTCACGTCCAACTCTAGTAAACACTTCCTTACTTCCCCACGTGTGTGTGTGTGTGTGTGTGTGTGTGTGTGCGCGCGTGTGTGTGTGTTTAGTAGAAATACTAGAGGAAAAAATTAGGTCAGGAGTCAGTATATTAGACAACCAAAAGGTTGGAAAAACAAGATCCAAGAGCTAACAGTTCGATCCTGCAGGAAACAAACAGTAGACACACACACACACACACACACACACACACACACACACACACACACACACACACACACACACACACACACACACCATGCTCACCATGAACACAAGTCCCATTTCTTAAGCAGCTGCCTCATAAGTTTATGAACGAAAGAATACTTTACAGTACATGTGACACTCAGGTGACTAAGTTCAAACTTTTATCTAAAAGTTCTTGTCTGATCTTGAATGCTCTAAGTTAGCTTCATAAAACTACTTCTCCCCCACACACTTTCAGAACAAACAATTACCAATGTAATCCAAACATCAAGTCATAAAAGTTGACATAACCTAGGCCTATGCGCAACATAATATACCTCAAAACAAATTTTACAAACAATTTTGTGTGTTAGTAAACACTACCAAACACAACTTAGTAGGAGTTTCTTTTAAAGGACAAATTGGTGTCGGATACCCCATAAATGAAGTCAAAGGGGATGTCAGATTCCTCATAAATAAGGCCAAAGGGGTGTCAGGTCCCCCATAAATAAGGCCAAAGGGGTGTCAGGTCCCCCATAAATAAGGCCACTGCCAACCACACACATCTCTAAAACAGTGAAGAGACTCACCTTCACAAGAGCAGCATAGTTCTCCCTGTCCTCGGGCATGGAGCCGTCGCGTGACGCCGGGTACTCCCAGTCCAGGTCCAGACCGTCGAAGTTGTAGCGACGAAGGTGCTTGATGGTGGAGATGATGAAGGTCCGGCGGTACTCCGGGAGGGAGACCAGCTCGCTGAACCGTCCGGATCCCTCGTTCCATCCGCCGATAGCCAGGAGGGTCTTCAGTCCCTTATTGTACTGTTTTAACCCGTTGAACTTGGCATAGCCGCCTGGTGAGGAGTGAGAGGGTGAGTCAGCGAGACGGAGAGAGAGAAGGAAAGATAAAGGAATAGGAGGATAAAAGATAATAGAAAGAATAACAGTAATAACACAAGATATGACCACCCGTGTTCTCTTACCTTGCTCAATATCCTGGTAGGAGTCGAAGGGCTTTATCTCGAACTCGTCCGTAAGTCCGCCAAAAGCGTAGACGAGATGCGTACAGAGGTAAGGGTTGATGTTCTGGGGCGTGTACTTGGCCTCCCCCTTGCGGTACACGGACCAGTTGGTGTAGTAACACACCACCTTCTTGGAGACGTCCGCAGGGGCCTGGCGCCTCTCAACTTGGTCTGTGGAGGGAAGAGACATGGAGGTTATCACCTGTACTCTAAGGAGAGAGAGAGAGAGAGAGAGACTAGCTGGTTGTTTACACTTTACAGCACCACTTCGGTCCATCACACTTTCTCCAAACACTTTAAAATTTAATCATCACCCCTAGGTGATCCCTCTCCCCCTACTCACTATCATTTTTACCGTCACTATTGTCTTGAATAACCTTCACTATTATCGTTATCATCATCCTCTTTATCACAATGATAATCACCATAATTACCGCCATCAACACCCTCTCTATCCCCACTCACGTCACCATCAACACTCCTAACACACCATCACCACGAAAACCACCATCATCACCATCACTACCAACGTCATCTTTACCACCATTGATACCATCATTACATTTATCAATATTCTCGACATTATCCTCACATACATAACCCCGTCGCTGCATATTCAAGCTCTGGTCTCACATAGGTTTGTACAGTTCCTTGGACGCCTCTTGATCCAGGTACTTGAAGGCTGGCGTAATGTTCGCGAGTTTGGCAACCGGCGGTGACTGAATTCTGTATGTTTTCCTCCCGTGCTGGGGTTGGGCTGCCGCTACACTTAAGGTCTTTATCTTCTGTGACTCTTGGACGTTTCTCCTCCTTACTGGAGGCCTTTTAGGTCTCCTTCCAGTTGTTGCCAGTCTCCTGACCCTACACTTGCTGGTGTTAAATTCAAGCAGCCACTTCTCAGACTAGGTGTTTAACATATACTAACCTAACAGAGTTTACCAGACCGAGATTCCCTTTTGCCATCTTTCCAATTGTCAGTCGTTTAATGTAAGGACTCTGTACCTCTTTGTTTCTTGGCATATCTAGTTCTCAAGCTATAGATGGAGGAAGACATTACTTCTTCGTTCCGCTAGCCTTACTAACCTTACACTGAAGTGTTTCACTGAAGTGTGTGTTTCCTCACACACCCTTGAGGCCCACCTGAGTGTCCAGCAACCATGCTTGTCGTCTTGTCACGTTACTGAATCTATACATCCTATCGCTATTTCATCGGTGCTCCTGAGTATTTTGTATGTCTGGATTATGTTTACTCTATTTTTATCTTTCTAATGTCACGAGGTTCAGTTTCCTCAATTATAGGTCTAATAGAATTATACTCAGAATTATATACTATTATAGAATTATATTATAGAAGTCTAATAGCATATATCTTAGAACGTTGGCAATATTACCTTAGGGGTTTTTGAGGTTGTGGCTCCATGCTAGTTCTGTAGACTATAGTACTAGTCTGAAATATGCTCTATATAATGCGTGATACATACATACATATATATATATATATACATATATATATACATATGTATTGTGTGTGTGTGTGCGCGCGTGTGTGTATGAGTGTATATGTGTGTGCCTGTGTGTGCGTGCTCTGGGGGGAGTTCATGGGACGGGTGTCATCATGGCTCCACCAAACTCGAGAAAGTGCTCGAGACCAAAATAAACAGCACTATTTTTTAACGATCTATACCTTACACATTTACCCGTGACGGCTCTTCTTACGACTGTCCAAGAGAGAGAGAGAGAGAGAGAGAGAGAGAGAGAGAGAGAGAGAGAGAGAGAGAGAGAGAGAGAGAGAGAGAGAGAGAGAGAGAGAGAGAGAGAGAGAGAGAGAGAGAAGAGAAATATAATAATAATAATAATAATAATAATAATAATAATAATAATAATAATAATAATAATAATAATTGATCAGTTGTCCAACTTTCACATTTCCAGAGTTGGACGGGGTTCCCGGGCGCTTGGAGGAGTCGGTCAGCGGAGTCTGACCCACTCTAAGATGCCGTATTGTCAAGTCATGGGTTCCTTCCAAGGTATCCGGCGACGGTAAGATTAGCTCCACAAACATAAGGCAGAGAGAGAGAGAGAGAGAGAGAGAGAGAGAGAGAGAGAGAGAGAGAGAGAGAGAGAGAGAGAGAGAGAGAGAGAGAGAGAGAGAGAGAGAATGGGCATGGCAGAGAGAGGGCATGGGACGCGATGACAGGGAAGTGCCCCGCATGGGTGGGGTTGGTCGGAAGTGTGAGAGGGTCTGGGAGGTGGAGGGTGGCTGGTCTGCCCGGCTGTGTCCTTGGAAGGAAGCTCCCGGATAAGTAGACAGACGACGTCGCCACAGAGGGAGGGGGAGGAGGAGGAGGACCCCGGAGGGTGCCTTAGCTAGACAAGGTCGCCAGGGTGGAGTCGAGGGGTGTGGTCACCCATGGCACTAATAACAAAAACTGGCCGTGTTCCATATGCCGTGTGAATCAGTACCTGAACATGCACGAAGGAACGGCCTTACACTGTGATGAAACGCCCGTGGTACACAGGAACTTGGTCTACGACGACACACAGTGCATGGCAAGGTGAGAAATGCCGTGAAGGTGAAAAATAATAAAATCGTAGCGGTAGTCCAAGTCGGAGTTGGAATGTTCATGGTCGAGTGCATGAATCAAGCGCCCTAACCCTTTAACTGCTAGATACGTTGATTTACGCACCCTTTGCATGTTTGGCTTGAATTTATCTGACGCCGATGATACATTCACGAAACTGTCTCGAGTTTGTTGGCTACATTCCTTGCACGCGTGTTTTGGATTGCTTCGAAACTGTCTCGGAGCACGTTTTTTTTTTCCACAGTTTGGCCTCATAAACATTGGCTAGCGTTAATCCAGCTGCCAAACCCCCCGTTTATGAATGAGAACACTTTACACACAACACAAATTATGTCGCTAAATGTTTTGTCGAACTGTTCTTTGCTCGCTTCCCAAGAATCTACAAAATGAAAATACAAATAATTGCTAACAGAACTAAAACACCTAACCAAAATTAAAATAGGACTAACTATACACAAAAAATTAATATAAAACAATATTAATTATTATTTGAGAAAATACCGATATTGAATACATTACATTAAGTTTATGAATGTGTCTATGGAATTGACTGCAGCTTCGTCGAGCATAGCCTGATGATGTTTTACAAATATTCTTTATACCTAATACCAGACTTTCAAATGGTTAATCCAGTGTAATGTTATTTTTCAAAACAAAGTTTGAACTAAACATATAAATAAGTTTTAAGCATTTCAAAATACTTATCAACTGTTGTGTCAGTCCTTCCTGTACAGTCGAGGCTGTTATCAGAGTAGCACTTGAACAGTTTGGCAAATTCTGATTAATATATTCCCATTACTTAAGCATAGATGATAATTAATCACAAGGAAGTCACATTACTATGATAAATCAATGAGGAAAATCAATTGGATCAAAGGCAGGGATTCGACGCGGCGACCTGGGTACTCCCGGCCACACGTGGTCCAGTGGGTTAAGGACTGTGTCTAGGAGTCTCAGGTCTCTGGTTCGAATCTCAGCATTACTCCAGTTGATTTTCTCAGATAATTAGATTTTTGGCGCATACTGGACAAAACAAAATGATAGTTTACCAACGGGTAAAATCTAAATTACATATTTCAACAAACTTCTCATAATTTTGACATGATTACGTATAATGATCATATGATAATTCCGATTCATCAACAACAAAAATTGAGGATTTTCCAACAGTTTGAAAATGGCATTAGAATTTGTTTTCAATGTAAGAGGACCATCTCATGTTATTCATCTTGTTCTCAAGTTACCCGAGAACCGGATGTTCCCCAAGAACACTTAATTCATAAAATGAACAATAACAACACTTGTAGTAAATCAAATGAAAAATAAGAACACTTGTGGTGTATACAAGGAACGACAAGAACAATTTTGGTGAACAAAATTAAATATCTGGCTACCAGTATATAACCGTTCACCAAACGTCAACAAGGTCTGGCCCAGTCTTGACAAAAAACTTAATACGATGTTGAGATTTACTCAAGATGTTGCGGCTGTCGACGTGAGTGTTGATTCTCTTCCCTCACGTGGTTGCAATAATGTTTGTTTATTTGTTTCTAGTTCTCTCTTTCTTCTTTCACATTGTTGCAATAATATTTGTTTCTCTTTCTCTTCCATTTCACTGTGATAATGAGTTGTTTTCTTCATATCTGTTTCGATCACACTAAAAAGAACAAGGAATGGGTTTTTGGGTTTGTTAATATCACAATTTTTGGCGATCGTCCTCTCTCTTTTTGAGTCACCGACTCATTGATTCGTTCTTCAGTCTACTTCACCACGTGCTGATTCATCACGTGCAGCTTTACCATGTGTTGATTCATCACGTGCTGCGACTCCACACACTCAGCTACTTACCGACAAATATAAAAGGACAAAAGATGTTTAACATTATTTGCTGGTGGCGTATAAAAACCGTTCCGAGTGGGTCATGGAAAGACAAATGAGTTACTAATGTCGTCATCGCTACTGACACTCTTGTGTGTCGCCCCCAGGCGAAGGTGGGGCCGGGAAGACGAGGGGTCCTGGAACAGTGGGGCCGCGAAGACGAGGGATCCTGGAACAGTGGGGCCGTGAAGACGAGGGTCCTGGAACAGTGGGGCCGTGAAGACGGGGTTCCTGGAACAGTGGGGCCGTGAAGACGGGGTTCCTGGAACAGTGGGGCCGTGAAGACGAGGATCCTGGAACAGTGGGGCCGTGAAGACGAGGATCCTGGAACAGTGGGGCCGTGAAGACGAGGATCGAGCGTAAATTTGTACTTGTCTGAATTATATGTCAAACCACATTTCAGACCACCTCTGGGTTGCTTCTGTCTAATTTTACAATGTATCCCAATACTTCAACGTTTTGCTTCTCCTCATTATAGTATTGCATCATTATAAAAAAACATTAACATGAAGAATGTGTTCATCTCAAATCATTTATTAATTTCGCATTAGTCTCCTCAATAATCTTCAGTGTTACACCAGAGGCCAAAGCGCGCCAATTGGCTCTTGTAAACAACAGCTCGCATTCAAGTCGTCATTTGTTTGCATCAAAGAGATTTCATACGTCATGTAAATATATGTATTACCCTCCCACCCTCTCCCACATTCAACAACCGCTCTTGTACACACTACTCTCCCTCCCTCTCCCACACTCTCCCACCCTCTCCCACACTCTCCCACTCTCCGTTACAACATAATGTTCCGGCTCCCTTGGAGTGTGTGTCGACCGTGACGTCACATGTTGACAGTACAAGGGCACGTTAAAGACAAAGCGGGATTGTTGGACGGTTGGGGGAGCGTGGGTAGGATCATCCATGGGGTCAGTGTACACCCCTAGTGTCCATGGGTCAGAGTACGCCCCTAGTGTCCATGGGTCAGAGTACGCCCCTAGTGTCCATGGGGTCAGTGTACACCCCTAGTGTCCATGGGTCAGAGTACGCCCCTAGTGTCCATGGGTCAGAGTACGCCCCTAGTGTCCATGGGGTCAGTGTACACCCCTAGTGTCCATGGGGTCAGAGTACGCCCCTAGTGTCCATGGGTCAGAGTACGCCCCTAGTGTCCATGGGGTCAGTGTACACCCCTAGTGTCCATGGGGTAAGTGTACACCCCTAGTGTCCATGGGGTCAGTGTACACCCCTAGTGTCCATGGGGTCAGTGTACGCCCCTAGTGTCCATGGGTCAGTGTACACCTCTAGTGTCCATGGGTCAGTGTACGCCCCTAGTGTGCATGGGGGTCAGTGTACACCCCTAGTGTCCATGGGGTCAGTGTACGCTCTCAGTCTCAGGGTATGTGATCAGGCTTCAGGAGCCTTGGCCGGATCCATGGATACACTCACCTCACTGGTGTATACTTGTGTATACATTCATGGGCATACTGTATGCACACACACAACATGTGTAGGGGACGGGGTTCACGGCTGAGTGGATAGCACTCGAGGGTTGTAGACACACACAATGTGAAGGGTTCGATTCCCGGCGGAGGTGAAAACAAATGGGCAAATTGTCTTTCACCCTGATGCCCCTTTTCACCAAGCAGTAAATAGGTACCTGGGGGTTAAACAGCTGCTTCCTGGGGATGTGTGTGAATGTGTGCGTTAGAGAGAAATCTATATATAGTAGATATAATAGAAGAACAATAGATTGGTTAGAAAGGCGGGGTCCAAGAGCTAATATCTCTATTCTGCAGGTACAAATAGTAAATACAAATAGTGAATACACAACTCAGACTGGAGAACACGGGGGAAGAGGTGAAGCATGGTAACAACGTACAAAATTCTAGGTGGAATTGACTAAGTAGACATTAAAGCAATGTTCAAAGTGAAGACCAGCAGAACGATGGGTCAGAGATGGAAACTGGAGACACAAATGAGTCACAAAAATGTGGATCTGAGGTTCATGAGCGTAAGAGTCATAACTAAATGAAATAGATGGGAAACCTCTTCAAGATCATTCAATTCATAAGTTTAAATACAAATATATAAAAACGAGAGAACAGCGCAATTGAATTAAACTCAAAATATGCTTAAAAGGCGTGGCTAGAGAGCTGACGCTCCACCCTGCCAGGCACACGAAGGTATCTACATCTAGGTAAGTACTCAGACAGGAAAAAGGCTATCCAGACCCATTAGGAAAGAGCTGGTGAAGTCGCAACTTCCTGGAAACAACGCAACAACAGCCGCTAACGCACGAGCCGTAATAACGTCTGCGACGTTCCAGGGAGAGATCTTTGCGTTACTAAATATAATAAATTATCTGCCATTATATCTTTTGGGGCTTAATGATGTGTATTTTATCAGGCATTTGTGTTGTGGAAATGTTTGTGGGGGATGTATTAGTGTGTGTGTGTATTCAGTAGGTACTGGGGCTACATTAGGGTGTGTCCGGAGGCTACAGGAGGGTGTGTCCGAAGGCTACAGGAGCCTGTGCCCGAGGCTACAGGAGGGTGTGTCCGGAGGCTACAGGAGCCTGTGCCCGAGGCTACAGGAGCATGTGTTCTACCTTTTTTTTTACACCTAAACTTCCTCGGTATATCTCATTGTGTTCTCAGTCCACTCTAACACCACAGTCGCTTTTCCCACAATCCAAAGCTCTCCTCCACATCCACGTCTTTTTCCGCACACCGGAATCACATTTGTCGCAACCCGCTTCCCAGAACAACAAACCTCACCCCCTCCCCCTCACACCACGTCAACCATCCGTACAATCCAACCTCTTCATCTACAACCCAATCTGTTTCAAAAATTATAACTTTTTTCCCTCATTCTAATTCCTTTCCTAACGCTACAACACAACACGTGACTTTCCATCAATTGACGTGTCTTCAGTCCTTTAGGTATGTACTCTAATCACGTTTTCAACTCTGTATACCAATTACCTTTCCCACCTAAACACCCAAACACACAATCCCTTTCTCTTGCCTATTATCTGCCTAGAGTGTAGGAGGAGGAGGAGGAGGAGGAGGCCGGAGAGAGGAAGTGGAAGAAGAATATGAAGATGGAGAAGATGAGCAGAGGTATACTCGAAAACATGACACCCTCCAACAAAACATTAGAGGACCTCAAATAAAAGAAGATAGCTTCCCCTTCAAAAAATGCCGCAGGCTCTTATAATCATAAAAAACGGAAATCAACTACCAGGCAAGGGATTATAAAATAAACAGCGGAGCTCTACAGGCACCGTCAGAAACAAAACAAAATCTTTTTAAATCTCCGTTATCCATCTTTTTCTGTAGTCATCGTCTTCTTTTTTACACAGACAGGAGGTGGAAGGACTGAATACAAAGTCTGAAGTGTCCACAGAGTCCCGCCAGCGGACCACAAGAGTGAAAGTGGTGGCCGGAGGCATTTCACTGTGAAGGCGTCTGGCCATCTAGGGCAGGGCGTGATGATGTGAGTGGGGGCATGGGTAAGGTGCCGGACGGGGCAGGGCAAGGCGAAGGGCAGTGGGGGTGGGGCGGAGCAGTGGGGTGGGGCAGGGCTTAGGCTAGTAGCAGGAGTGAAAAGACCCAAAAGGGTGTGGAGTGAATGACCTGGGAGTATACATGACGCCAGAGGCACACATTAGCAGAATAACGACGGCAGTGTACGATGTTAAAATATCAAACGTCCGGTAAGCCTTCAAGAACTTATTTAAAGGAGGCTTCCAATGGCTTAGGATAACATACGAGAGGCAAATAATTGAGTGTGCAGCCCTAGCATGGAAGCTCACATGAAAAATCACTGAATACACACAGATAAACACAACGGTGAATACACATAGCGGTGAGTACACATGCAGGTGGATACCGACACACTCCCACCTCTACACCCCAAAGTCACTTGCGCTCACTTGCCTTCCTGTTTATCTAACCATCATCATTTTCGCTCCTTCCCCACCACGAAGACAAACAAATCCTCCTCACGGCCCATCTGCCTCCAGTGTTCCAGGATATATATTTTAAAGATTTACCGTGACGCAAAAAAACTCAAGGTACTCACGTCCATGTGTGAGAGCTGCCAACACGGCAACCGCCGCTAGTAGAAACCGCATCTGCAAGATGGAGGAAAATTCATTAGTTATACCTACTTAGTGATACATCTTGAGGCGAGAGCTCTAAGCCAGGATAAATATGCAACACCTGGAAAGGATACGAGGATAAGGATCTACGCGACCCGGAGAAACGAACGGTGGGCAATCATATGGTCAATTGGGCCTCGAACGCTGATCCTGCAAGATGCAAGGCCATTGTTCAACCAATCAGTCCAAGAATATTGTGTTCATAAAGGAAGGCCTTCCACCAATCTATCCACAAATGGAAAAGTTCCTAAATCGAGGGTAGTGACCTTGATCTGATGAGGCAGCTTCATCTGCTCGGCCGAGTGACCTCTCGGCTCTGGCTCTCAAGACATTCAGTTCGGCATCTGACCCTGTGGACAGGACCTTCAGTCCTCTGAGCATGGTCAATGACACTGCAAGTGTGATCACCGACCCTACAAGCAAGGTCACCGACCCTACAAGCAAGGTCACCGACCCTACAAGCAAGGTCACCGACCCTACAAGCAAGGTCACCGACCCTACAAGCTATACCTTAATTCAATGCTATGAAACACCCGGGGGCATCAAGGAATATTCCTCACTCATATTCAAGCAAGGAAACTTAATACACAGAATACCTGCCAGTCAGAGCCTGGGTGATGGTCAGTGCTTCTGCTTCACAGCGATATTCAGACCTCTGACATTATCGACGATCGAGATAAGTGCTTTCAAAGCATCAAAAACGTATAAACCCTAACATCAAATATTACAAATTACTTATTTATTTATATACAAGAAAGTACATTAGGTTGTGAGAGTACATAACATTGGTGTTCTTACATTCTTGCAAAGCCACAAACAGGCATAGCGTTTCGGGCAGATTTGATGCTATTTGCGTTATTGAGCACTTATTATTATTATTATTACCGAGTACTTATTTGCTAAGCAACACAACAGGTTTCGAGCCACATTTAGCCACAAGGTCGTGTTGATGTGGTATTCCTTGGGACCAGAATCTTCGAAATTTGGCAAATGTTCAGCCGATGTGGCTTGATATCTTGCTGCCATCATGATAGCAAGGTACTTATCAGGAGTAAGCACCGAGGGAAGATTGTCTGGGCACCAGTACTTAACTGCTCGCATCTCTTCACCCAGCAGTAATTGGAGACTTGATTGTAAAACCGAGGTCAAGGTCCTAGTCTAGTTACTGATGACGACCTTGGCCGGTTGAAAACGTTTTAACGTCTTTTCCATTTCAATGAGGCTTTTCCTCATGTCATACAAAGAGAAAGAGAGAGAGAGAGAGAGAGAGAGAGAGAGAGAGAGAGAGAGAGAGAGAGAGAGAGAGAGAGAGAGAGAGAGAGAGAGAGAGAGAGAGAGAGAGAGAGAGAGAGAGGACAATTTGAAGTGTCAGGTGAGTGGAAGGGAAGAGTGAGAGGTGAGGTGTGCGAGTGAAAGGCAGGTAGTGTGAGGTGGCAGGTAAGGGAGTGTGAGGTCCCGTTAATCCCGGGTGTGTCGTAGGTGTTTGTCAAGGCTAGTTGGATCAGGTCCTCGTCTTGCATGTTCACATCTTAGGTGGCACCTCCAACCGGTATCTTCCACCTGGTACCACCAACCGGTACCTCTAGCCGGCAGCTTCTTCCAGCACCCTCAGACGGTATACCGAGCTGGTAGCTTCATCCGGTACTATACCAGGAAGCAAAATCTGCCCTTCCAAGCCAACTGTTCCAAGCTGGTACTACGCAGCTGGTACCTTGCTCCCTGCACCCTCTGCCGGTATCAATATTACCAAAGGGCACCACCCTTTAGAAGTCCTAAGCTAGAGGTATCAAACAACTGGCCCAACACCCTCCTACATGTGGCCCGGGCCACATGTAGGAGGGTGAACACTTAACACAATGTGTTAAAAGTCGTCCAAAACGTATTACCAAAATCACTGAGTTGTGTACATTGAAAGGGATTGTGCTTGCGTTCGTTCCGAGTAACCCGCCGGATGAATTTTAAGTCATCCTCGAAGAGAAAGTATGTGTTGCACTTTGTACTGCAATTGATGAATGTATAGATGCAATCGTTGCAACACAGCTTGCAATTGTTATGCCTGGTGCTGATCAAAATTTGCATCCAACAGAAGAATTTGTGGAATTGATATCAATAACAAGAACAGATGATGATTACGTGATGAGTTTGGCAGGAATGCTAGCCAAATTAAGCGTTTATTGGACAAAAGCATCGAGTCTGGCTAGAATGGAACACCGCAAATTATAGATAGAAAAGCTGATGCAGCTTCTAAATTAATGGAAATACTATCTCTAAACAATTAAGAATTTCGCAATTTTCACTGGATTATTCACAAAAAATTTTTGTGTATTTAAAAAGAGTAAAAGAAAGGAAAAATTATAATGTCATGGCTATCGTCATAAAGACTTAACGTATTCCGAGCACAAAGTCTTAATCACAAACAGTTCAACTACCGAGGCGGAACCAAAGACCCGAAGCTCAACCCCCCCCCGCAAGCACAACTAGTCGAGTACTTTTTTTTTAGAAGATAATAAGTACCCTCACTGACTGTCACATCATATTCTTGCTGGAGAGTAGCGCCAGGAAGCTGTACAGTAGCGCCAGGAAGCTGTACAGTAGCACCAGGAAGCTGTACAGTAGCACCAGGAAGCTGTATAGTAGCACCAGGAAGCTGTACAGTAGCGCCAGGAAGCTATACAGTAGCGCCAGGAAGCTATACAGTAGCACCAGGAAGCTGTACAGTAGCACCAGGAAGCTGTACAGTAGCGCCAGGAAGCTGTACAGTAGCGCCAGGAAGCTGTACAGTAGCGCCAGGAAGCTGTACAGTAGCGCCAGGAAGCTATACAGTAGCGCCAGGAAGCTATACAGTAGCGCCAGGAAGCTGTACAGTAGCGCCAGGGAGCTGTACAGTAGCGCCAGGAAGCTATACAGTAGCACCAGGAAGCTGTACAGTAGCACTAGGAAGCTGTACAGTAGCGCTAGGAAGCTGTACAGTAGCACCAGGAAGCTGTACAGTAGCACTAGGAAGCTGCGCAGTAACGTAAGAAAGCTGTACTGAGGAGCCGTCAACAACAGTATACTGAATGTTGTCGTGAAACATGAAGAAGAAAGGACGCGCGTGAATTGAAAGATAATGAATAGGTTCAAGGTCAGGCCTTTCAAGATAGACATCACAGAACGTCTAAATTGCCTGAAACAAAAGGATGCAATAAATTAGTGAGAGTATGACTGTATTCATGCGACTTGCAGAGAGTAGTCCTTCACACTTTCCAACCTTGAAAACCCAACAAGACATCAGTGGACACGTGGTGAGAGTGTGTGAATATGTACTGATACCAGCACGGGAAACTTCGGCAGCAAGATTTATAAATTAAGGAATGACTTTTCCTGAACAATTTGTTACCCTTAAATACATCAAGAATTACTTTAAAAAAATTGGACCATATTCCCTATCGGTGGCAATGAAGCACAAGATTTTGTGTTTGTTTTCAGCAAGAAATAACCGAGTAACAACGTGATTCTGTTCAGTATGAAAAAGTTTTCGAGTGTTAATACATTTTATCATTATCTGGCACCAACGTGTTCCCAAGATCAAGCATTTTACCCCCACAGACTGTCTCTATGGCTTGGCGCTCTTCCCTGATAATTCTCTCCCTTCCTCCATGTCTGGAACGCGTCTCAACAGCTCTGTTTGTGTGTAATGATTATTAGAAACCCCTCGCCCAGATTTTCAGCTTACTCATACACACCTAAAGTTAATACTCAGCGGGCTGTAGCTCAGTTATTTGAACCAGATTTTAATGTTTTTCTTATTAAGGCTACTCAATAGCTCGGTCGAAATAGAGCTTTAGTTTCACACGCGTGGAGTCCAAGGTTCGAGTCTCCTACACAGCCCAGGTGAATGGAATTAATGCAATGTTCCAGACCAAGAGATGCCAAGAGTTAAACAATAAGACTAGACAATAAATATTATTATTATTAGTGAGAAAATCAATTGGAGTAATGCGAGGGATTCGAACCCTAGACCTGGGTGACCCCAAGCAGTGTGCCTGACGAGAGCTTCACTCCCGCGACGACAAATGACTGTGACACCGTGTCTTAGGTCATTGTTTGTGTCAGACTGTCACTAGGGAGAATATATATATTATTTCCAGTTGTTGGTAGCACTGTTCAGTATTGTTAGCCAGCTGAATGGTGTCCCTGTATGTCTGTATGTGTGGTGTATGCATGCCTGTATGTGTGGTGTATGCATGCCTGTATGTGTGGTGTATGCATACCTGAATGCATGTATGTGTGATGCATGCATGCCTCAATATATGTATGTATATATATATGCATGTAAGGTGTCAATGACATTGATTTTTTTCAACGCAATACCTTTACAATTTTCATTACACAGTGTGTGTGTGTGTGTGTGTGTGTGTGTGTGTGTGTGTGTGTGTGTGTGTGTGTGTACTCACCTAATTGTACTCACCTAATTGTGCTTGCGGGGGTTGAGCTCTGGCTCTTTGGTCCCGCCTCTCAACCGTCAATCAACTGGTGTACAGATTCCTGAGCCTATTGGGCTCTATCATATCTACATTTGAAACTGTGAATGGAGTCAGCCTCCACCACATCACTTCCTAATGCATTCCATTTGCTAACTACTCTGACACTGAAAAAGTTCTTTCTAACGTCTCTGTGGCTCATTTGGGTACTCAGCTTCCACCTGTGTCCCCTTGTTCGCGTCCCACCAGTGTTGAAAAGTTCGTCCTTGTTTACCCGGTCGATTCCCCTGAGGATTTTGTAGGTTGTGATCATGTCCCCCCTTACTCTTCTGTCTTCCAGTGTCGTGAGGTGCATTTCCCGCAGCCTTTCCTCATAACTCATGCCTCTTAGTTCTGGGACTAGTCTAGTAGCATACCTTTGGACTTTTTCCAGCTTCGTCTTTTGCTTGACAAGGTACGGGCTCCATGCTGGGGCCGCATACTCCAGGATTGGTCTTACATATGTGGTGTACAAGATTCTGAATGATTCCTTACACAGGTTCCTGAACGCCGTTCTGATGTTAGCCAGCCTCGCATATGCCGCAGACGTTATTCTCTTTATGTGGGCTTCAGGAGACAGGTTTGGTGTGATATCAACTCCTAGATCTTTCTCTCTGTCTGTTTCATTAAGTACTTCATCTCCTATTCTGTATCCTGTGCCTGGCCTCCTGTTTCCACTGCCTAGTTTCATTACTTTGCATTTACTCGGGTTGAACTTCAACAGCCATTTGTTGGACCATTCACTCAGTCTATGTGTGTGTGTGTGTGTGTGTGTACTCACCTAGTACTCACCTAGTTGTGTTTACGGGGGTTGAGCTCTGGCTCTTTGGTCCCGCCTCTCAACCGTCAATCAACAGGTGTACAGATTCCTGAGCCTATCGGGCTCTGTCATATCTACACTTGAAACTGTGTATGGAGTCAGCCTCCACCACATCACCCCCTAATGCATTCCATTTGTCAACCACTCTGACACTAAAAAAGTTCTTTTCTTGTGTGTGTGTGTGTGTGTGTGTGTGTGTGTGTGTGTGTGTGTGTGTGTGTGTGTGTGTGTGTGTGTGTGTGTGTGTGTGTGTGTGTGTGAGGGCGCGCGCAAACGTACGCGCGCCCCGGACTGAGTGTGTGCAAGTAATCACGAAAACAACACCAACAGACTTTAACAAGAATAAACTAAGAACATCAATGGTTACACATTCTTCTGTTAAATCTTCCGTCATTACACGTTAATTCGCCACTGCGGAAACCAGTTTTACACTCGAACACTCAAACTGAGAAAAAACAGAACACAAAATCCCTGGACGCCGTCTGGAGCGTTGTAAAATCCGGTAACGGGGCCATGGCGAGGCCCTCACAGAGGTGGCTCGACTAGCCAGCACAACAACCTCTACTTTTCACTACTTTCTTCTCCCCTGGCGTCAAGACTCTCGACCCTCCGATACACCTCCACTGCCATCTTACCTGTCCACACTGACGGTCAGAATACACCCTCAATCACATAACGAAAAGTACTTTTGAGTGTATCAGTTATACATCATCTTCTACCGCAGCATTGCACTGCAGCGATAAGTTTGTGGGGGTCATTGTACACCCTTCAGCACCGCGGTAGTGCACAAGTGACTTCACCCATCACTGCTCCCCTTGTCTGAGCAGAGGGAGCGCTGATCGGCGAAGTCACGTTCCCGATGACGGAAGCGGCACATTAAGACGGTAGATCCGGTCGACGGTGCTGATTACGGGGGTGCGCTTGGCGGGGAAATAAAAGGGGAGGGGTCAGAGGGGGAGGGATGGTGAGTGAGGCGAGTGGGGGGAGCTGGGTGGGTGTGGGAAGGAGGGGGAAGCGGCAGGTCAAGGGAGGTCACTAAGTCGCAACCGAGTACCGAAGGTGTCAACGATCCTGGGAGTGAGCGGGGCCTTGGCGGAATGTTACAGTCAAGCCAAGAATTAGTGCGAGGCAATCTCTCCTCCGGTGATACATCCAGCTGGTACCTCCAGCCGGTACCTCCAGCCGGTACCTCCAGCCGGTTCCTCCAGCAGGTACCTCCAGCAGGTACCTCCAGCCGGTTCCTCCAGCCGGTTCCTCCAGCAGGTACCTCCAGCAGGTACCACCATGAGACGGACGACGAAGCAGCAAGCCGTGAGCCTTGAGCCTCAGACAGGCTCGCCTGCGACCTGCTTCACTGTAGCCAGCTCTCGTGGGCTGAGGCGCCTCGCTGAAAGTTGCTGACATTTAACTTTTTTTCCAGAACTTTGAAAGAACGTAAAAGGGTGACCTATAGCACTGGTTCGGGTGTAAAGGGCTGTGGCATCCTGCCGAAAGATATGTAGAACATTAATGTAAAAACTGGAGCATCTAGATCACTCTTTACTCGCGCATTGCAGTCTCTGATCTGGATAAATGAAGGAACGCTAGAGTGTGTTACTGAATGTGTTTATGTGTCTGCTTGTGTATCTGTTCGAATGCTGGTGTGTGCATTTTGTACATATGTCTGTATGTCTTGGTGAGAATGTGGGTTCATGTGCGTGTTCGTGCGTGCGTGTGTGTGTGTAGTCACGCACGCGTGCGAGTGCCTGCGCGCGTGTGCTTGCACAATTTAGTGAGTACATGAACGAGCAAATAAAAGATCCTGTAAAAGGTAAGGTAACTATCAAGGGGAAAGCGCCAAGCCATTACGACTATATAGCACTTGGAAGGGATCAGGATAAGGATTTAGGATGGGACGGGGGTGGGGGGGGGAGGTGAAGTAAATAAAAACGTTTATTTGATGGATTTTAGTTTATGTTCGCAAGAACAAAAACATATTTCAACACTGTCTATAGTTTTCTTACGTTCAGCCATCATGGTCTACTCCAGGGGCTAAATGACAGCTGGAATGAATTTACAAAATCCAAAACTTTTCTGGACACTCTTGAGTTTTTTTTTTTGAAAGGTCTGGCATCCTTCCTACCAACAAAATGAAGAGTTAAACCCCAAGACCTCACGTAAACTCTCAGAGGCAGCATTTTAGTGAAAACTCAACTGTACAAGTTTCTACAAGCTGGGGATGATTGGGGAGGGTGGGGGGTGGGGGGGGGGTTGGATAGACAAGAGTGGGAGCGCGGCTGTTGCTGCTTGTTTGTGGTTAGTGGGTGACAGGGTGAGTTTTTTTTTTTTGGTCGAGGCGACGAAGCTGAGGAAATGCACCAGCTGTATGCTTAAGACGAACAAAACTTGCTTTCGGGTTTCGAGAGATGTTACTCCAAAAAATTCTTACAAATCTCCGAAGAAAATATTAGCACAGTCATTGCTCAGGCTTCAGAAATCTGGCATACTTTCTCCTCAACACTTGACTCGGTTCCGTAGCACCACAACACGTAAAATCTAAGAATTACTAAGAAAATTGGGCCATCAGTCCTCGAGATGTGGACCACTGAGGCCCCTGATGTGTGTCCTGATGGGCCAGGACACCCCGAGCCCCGACTCACCGGTGTCCAGCTGCGAGTAGGAGCGTGTGAACACTAAGACACCAAGGGACTGACTGACTAGCGGGCGGGTCCAGCCTCAGAGCCCACAACCTTCACGAAGCTAAGGAGAGAGAGACCAAGAGAGCGGCAGTGGGAACCCACCACCGTCTCTCTCTCTCTCTCTCTCTCTCTCTCTCTCTCTCTCTCTCTCTATCTATCTATCTTTACGTTGTTTTAATCCCTCACATTAATTTAGTTATCCTATCCTTGCTTGCGATCTCCGTATATCCAATTCTTCGCCATTCTATGATTCCTGTCTTACCTTGCAACTCTCCTCCTCCTTTCCATTCACTGCCTCTATACTGTAGTCTCCTTCAATCTTTCCACCCACCTCCTCTTCCTTCAACGTCCCTCCCGCAATCTACTGATTCTCTATTTCCTTGCATTTTTTCTTTATCCTTCTACCTGCACCCACTCCCTCTCTGGATGTGGCCGCCTCCCACTTTCCGCCAATACTCACCCTCTTTGGGGATTTTCCTACCTTATTTCAGCAGTTATTTACCTCCTTGTAGCTTCGTTATTCCACCCACTCTTTCTCCTGCCTCCTTCCCTGATGCCATCTCCGCTCTCTCTTGAAGACTTTCATATATCTTTCTCCAAGTCTTCACCCCCTCCTCTGCATTGGGTTTCCAAGGGGGTGCCTTGTGTGCGTGAGCCCATCACGAAGGTAACCCAGGCAGGGATCCTGGAGGTAGGTGACGGTGCTGCCCGTTCGTACTGAAATAGAGCGACCTTGACGGCTGGAACAGCTCGCAATGTTTACACTGTCGATGTGAGGCTTTCTTTTCCCAGGGGCCGATGTGAACCCTTTAATGAGAGACCTCGAGTCTGCAGGACTTGTGTCGTGGTCTTGGAAGAAGAGAAAGAAAAAGAAACATGCTAGAAGAGGAGGAGAAAAAATAGTTGCTGTGTTCCTGTGATATTAACACTGCAATTTTAATCAGATTTTAATCCAAAAAGCATGGATTACGTCTATACATGTTGATCATTTTGGCGTGAGAGATTGCAGGAAAACTATAAGGAGTCTGCCCACCCTATTATTGCTCTTTAGAAATGTACAGTTTTTCTGATGGCAAAATAGGAAGTGAGGTGGCCCTGCCTGACCACCTCCTAGCCTGCCCACCTCACCCCCTGCTCCTCTCCCTCCGCCCAGGCTCCTCAAGGTGCCTCCCTCAGGTACCCCTCCATCCTGGTTGGTATGCGAGGACCAGGCAGGACGCTCTCACTTTCTACCGCTGCCCGCTAGACTATCGTCTCATTAATATGCTATGACTGAGTCGACTTGCTGGTCCCACCTAGCCTTCTCCTTAATGGGACCGTCCCTACCTAAACACCCGCCCCCGGGGCCTGCTACACCCGCCCTTTCACACTCATATACTGTCACTGGACCCTTCCCTACACCTCAACACCGTCCCTGAACACCTCACCATCCGTTTATGCATAGAATCCTCTCTGGACACCTGTACACTTCAGCACCACCCCTGGACACCTACACCCGTCGTTGGACATCCCTCCCTACGGCGTCCCTAAACACTCATAGACGCCACTATTCCTCATCACCGCCCCTGGACGCCCATGCACAGTCCCTAGAACCCCCCTAGACCCTACACCCACTACACCTCAAGAAAGTACTCAGGGAATTTCTTCAATCTCCCTCCAACACCTGTTTTCTTCCTCGTCATGCCAAAAAAACTCTCTTTCCTCTCCAGCCCCGTAACCCCCCCCCCTCCCTTCCCTCTCTACTCCCCTTTCCCTACCCTCCCTTCCGTCTGCCCAACCCATTCCATACTTGCCCATCCCTTCCCGTAGCCTATAACCCTTTCCCCGCCCCCCCCCCCTCTCCCCAGATCTCACCCTCACTTTCATCTCTAACTTTCACTGCTACGGCCACCAGTCACGTCTTAAACGTTCGTTCGCGTTCCACAGGCTTTCACTCGCCGATAATAATAATACCAAAATATATAGGAAATTCAAACACGTTGAGCCTATAGGGTGTCACGTTAGAGCAAAAGTATTCTTGTGCCTACTGGTGTTGAACGTGGCGCCGGATCCCATCACTCAGAGAGACATCCAAGCTTTGATATCCAGCTAATGCCTCTTGAAAAAAAGAGTTTTCTCCAGCTTACCCAAAACTTAGCTCGTCACACAGCTCTCATAGCAGGTGCGGAGGCTCTGATCCACCTGCCTATGATCCACCTGACTATGATCCATCTCACATCGCAAGAACACTGTTCTCATCTTGATGATTCAATGATTATTATTGCTATTATTTTCATCATTACTTGGGATGTGGTTAATCCTCGGCCCGTCACTCTGTGATGTCAATACCTCACCTTCGCTGTGATAAAGGCGAGGGAAGAATGATCACATGATCAATCAATCAATCACGACCATTACGGGCTATTCATGCCCGTGCCACCTCTTGAGTGGATTAATCTTTATGAATCAATCAATCGAACTCGATATAGTGTTCATATTGAACTCTGGTGTTGCACATACAAGTTATTTTCTGATTTATGTAAACTCTAAGTTAGGTTGGATTTGGTTAGATCTGGTTGGGTGAGGTTATGCTAGGTGTTGTGGTTGGTTAGGTTGGGTTGTGCTAACTTGGGTTAGGCTAGGTTACAACACCTTGGGTTAAGTTGGGTGAACAAAATTGTAATTACGAGGCCAGCAGTAATGATTATACAACTCTTGGATTGTTGCTACACCAACAGGGCTACAGTGGACTATTACTACACCTATAATAACAGCCGTATTACTGCAGGCGTAGTAACAGTCAGAAGGATCCATTGGACAGTTACTGGGGCCATCAATGCCAGAATATTCGTCGTACGGCTGACAGTGCAGTGAGCTTGCAAGAATCTCGCTGCCGAGTATGCAACAAAACTGTCGTACCCCTGCGAGGGGGCGCCTGGCCAGCCCATTCTCTTGATCTGCCGTTCCGTAGAAAAAATCTTTTAGTCAAACCACAACATACGAACCCAAGCAACCCACCATTCCCTAATGTATCGAGTCCGATGCTTAGAAAACGGGCATATTTGCGACCCGCTACTTCTCCTAATAGGTCGCATTTGTAACGTACAAATCGCGACCTATTAGTTGAGAGGACGGGTTCGTCTGGCAAGAAGGTTCCTGGCGTCCATGACAGAACTAAGAGGCCGATAAATGTCATGATATTTGGGACAATATTTTTTTGTGTAACTGGATCAGAATACACCTTTTTGGTCCGGTCCGACTTCCTGATAAGTCTTTATATGTAATTAGTATATGTCGGGAGGTTCGTAAGGCATTTGGAAAGGTTCGCGAAGCAAAGCATAACTGGGGATTATTCCGGCATTATTATTGTTTTACTCTTCGTCTCTCCTTCATTATCTTTCTCTTTTATTTGTCACCGCCTCGTTCTTTCGTTCCCTACCACTCTTATCAGTTACCTTAACTCTTCCCTTCATAAATGACCTATACTCCTGTTCTTCCTTATCTTATCCCTTTTCTTCTCACACCTTTTCCCTCACTTATTATTCTCTTCCCCCCCTCACCCAATACCAGTTACCCCCCTCCCCCTCACTAGTTACCTATCATTCACTACTTGCTCTCATTACGGGCTATTCATGCCCGTGCCACCTCTTGGGTGGCTTAATCTTCATCAATCAATCAATCTTTCCCTCACCCATCACCAGTTACCCATTACTCATAACACCCCCACACCCATACTCCCTCATAACCCCCTCACTGCGCCACATTTAGATCAGGTCGCCAACCCCGCACATCCGCCCCCCCCCGCTCCTGTACCAGGTAAGTCCACAACGGGCTCACCATAGCCCGTGCTACTTGGAACAAAAAGTTCCAAGTAGCGAATCTTAAACATCAACAACAACCTGTCCGTCCAGAGCCAGAGGCTGTGAGACTGTACGGCAGAACAAGCATCCTCAGACACCGACCAGTCCAGCCAGTCCACATGAACAGTTAAGAGACAGGTAAACTGGAAGGTGGTTACCTCCACTCATTACCTACAAAGGTCATCTCAATGCTGGTTATGTAAACATTAGTTGATTTTTGCCATTTAAGAATTATTAAATCAATCAATCGTGCATCAAAAAGCTGTTTAATTATGTTGGTTTGATTAATTAATCCAACTGTGTTTATTCTCATTATGAGAATGGGTAGAGACAGGACGGGGGGGGGGGGAGGAGGTGATGAGGGAGGGCGTTGGGGGGTAAGGGAGAAGTAGAGGGTGGCTATGGGGTGGGGGTTTGGGGCAGGGGAGGAGATAGGGATGGGGTAGGGACTGTTTATTTTCATGAGAATTTACTGAGAGCATTACGCCTCCGTCAGAAGATGGAGGAACGAGGTAGTGTACCAGCAGCAGTTCCCGCCAACTGGTCACTATAAGAGGCAGCTCCTTGTGGTTACACTTCACCATTTGGTCACCATTTGGTCCGGGAGACATCTCCCGTCACGCAGGGTGCAGTCGCGCCTCCACAGATCTCTAGTATCATCTCTTGATACTGGTAATGGCTCAAAAGGGCCACCACTTACGGGCTATTCATGCCCGTGCCACCTCTTGGGTGGCTTAATCTTTATCAATCAATCAATCGGTCACACTTACTGGAGGACCAGGGGGACCTCTCACTGGAGGACCAGGGGGACCTCTCACTGGACGCGTCAAGGGGTGACTTCACCGACGAGTGGACACTAGTGACGTCATCGTCGGGTGGACATCAGCAACCCATTTGGGGCGTTTTGTGTCGATTCTCTAGCAGCGATTGCTCAGGAATTTTCCCCAGAAGTCAGTTTGACATAGGTAGTGCTGGTGTTCTTAATGGAAGGTCATGGTGTGTGTGTGTGTGTGTGTGTGTGTGTGTGTGTGTGTGTGTGTGTGTGTAAGAGACACTGTGGTAGAGCTGAGGTGGAAGGAGAGTGGCCTGGGGGTGGGTGGGATTTGTCGGGAGTGTCGAGCAAGGGTCAACGGAGGTGGGCCGAGGGGGTCGAGGACATGTGGTCGTCGACATCATGGGGTCGTCACCATCACGGGGACGTCAACAT